CTTTCATATCTGAAACTGAATATGCAATAAAAATGTAAAGGAGGTCAACAAGCCGTTATTGTAAGCATTCAACTTCACTCCAATCAGTCTGTGCTAAGAGATCCTGCATTGGCCCCAAACTCACCTGCCTTCTGGGATAAAGTCTCTGGTCTGGCTGATGGAATTTCTCCTGTCTTGAAGCTATAGAATGTGCCTGGCAGAGGAATTCTTGTATTGTGTTCCTCCATGTCTGTAAATTAAATGAGATTTGGCAGCTGTCCTGTAGGTGGCAAGCTACTAGTCTTTACAGGGAGATGATCAGTAGGAAAATGACTCGGATTAAGTCCCTTACAGCTTGTGTCATCAAGCTATTTGGTATGGAGTCGACTGCTCAATTGGTAGAGCATCAGACTTTTGATCTGAGTGCCCAGGGTTCAAGTCCCTGGTTAGGTGAAGTGGTCGTCTTCTCTCCTTTGACCTTTCCTAGACAGAGGACGCTCATGGTCTCTGATGCCTGCTCTGAGGTGATGAGCTCAGCGATTTTTCCATTGCCATCATACTTTAGTGTCAGTTTCTACCCATGTAGCAGACACTGTCCCAAGGAGCCTGCTGCTTGAGAATCCTCAGGTTTTATCAAGGTGGCTACTTTGCACAACGCTCACAGGACTTAATGTTAGCTAGACAATAGCATATGGAAACTTTTTTACCTCTATTTCTCTCTGGATGCAGATATGGCTTTAGTAATGATAGTTATTTAGGTGAAACAAATAACTTTGAGTCTTGCTAAACAGGCACCATCATCATTGTCACTTGGGAGCCCAGGACTGAATGAACATGGTTTACCTCCAAAGTCTGAGAGGTGCTCCTTTCAGAGAACTTCGTCAGAAAATTTTGCTGCTGCTGCTTGTGCTGTACCTATTTGGAGAGCGGGTCAGCTAAGCAGCTGGAAACTTGCATAGCTCACTGACTTTGGGGGAATTAGACTTGGTTCACACTACCAATGTATGTTGGTATAACTGTCACTAATTATACTGTCGTAACCCCCATTAAAGATAGTGCCATGTTGGTGGGTGGGCTTCTCCTGTCAAATCAGCTACTGCCTCTTAGGGAGGTGGAGTACCCCCTCCCATCAGCACAGTAATCTCTTCACTGTGTGCTAGAGCAGTGTTTCTCAACCAGTGATACATGTACCCTTTAGGGGTAACGAGAGACGTCTGGGGGCTACAGCAATACAAATGAAATTTAGCAAAAAATGTCTGAGATTTTTGCCCTGCAAATGGGATTGGGGAGGGGGTGGCGGTGGGACATGCCTGTCAAATTGAATGTTCAAAGCCAGACCATTCACTGCTGCTCTGTACACACGCCCCAGTGCTGGTGGGAAAAGCATGTGGCTGTGGTGACTCTGGTGAGACTCAGGTCAGTTCCAAGTTGGGAGGCAAGTTTGGGTGGGGAGGGGAAAAAAAATCTCTTCCACGGCCACCTCTCCTAGTTCGTTTCCTCTCCATCAGCCTCCCTGGGGTGCTGCAGCCGGGAGGGCGGCTGAACTTGGAGACATGCATTACCCCCACCTCCACCAGCAGCTCAGTACAATGCATCCCCATCGCCCCTTCCCCATGGCACTGTGGAGACGAGCTAAAAGATGGTGAAGGGCACAATAAGCTTTGCTCTAAAGGACTGCCCCCACATCAGTGGCATAGTGAGGAAGGTACGGGGGGGCAGTTGCCCCTGGGCACCACAATAGGGGGACATCAGGCTGGGGTGGGAGAGCACAGCCTCATGTGGTGAGCCTGGCGCTGGTGGGCCACTTGCACCCTGCAGTCAAGCAGCTGAGGCAGGGCTGGGCGGGGGGAGCGGGCGATTGGAAGGGAGGGGTATCATACATTCGGGG